GAACTTGTGGTAAGCAAGATGAAATTCTACTCAACCTGAAAACGAGATTATTTCTGGTTACAATAAATCAATTTGAATAGCATGAGTGAAATGGTAGATTGTTGTTTGTTGATTTTTTTGCAAAACAAATTCTTGCATTACCTTTTATACACATTTCATGAGAAATCAGCCCGTTGTAGCTACTTAAATCCAGCAGTCAGTTACACTACACTATTGACAACATCTTGTCACCAAGTGGCATACTGTGAACAGACGATTGCAATAAGAGTCAGCTCAAAATGTCCAAAACCTCGCGTCTTAACGTAAAAGCTGGTGAGAATTGACAGATTTGAGGGAGAGTGGGGTCTAACATATTGGCAGCCTAACAACTGCTGTGTGGCAACGAATATTGGCTGACAGTTAGTATATAGCCATGGGCGTTTTTCAAATTCATTAATAAACAGACGAGATAAAAGATGGGAACCTTAAAATTAAAGACACTTTTTACTTTCGGGACCTTTTTCGAAAACAAATGTGGAAATGAAGCCCCTGCCCTTGTAAGAAAGAAGGGTGGAAAGGGAGGGATGGATGGCAACTTAAATCACAACATGAAACTTAAGTTCCATGATCAAAATTACTAGGATCTAACAAATATAACAAATCCTTCAAATGTATTTGTTCTGTCCATAAAGAGCATCAATTTATTCCTTGTGTAAAATAATTCCTGACGTACTTTTGTCTTCACAATTGTTTACTTTACTTTTCAAACTTCTGCTTCAGTCACTCGACTACAATTTAATTTTCTTAGACCAGCTGTTTAGATGATATCACAGAATTTGAGACTCATAACGACATACACGGTACACTGATCGAATCACTCGTTAAAAATCAGATACGGTTCTCTTTGTTATTACCAATTCATGTAATGATTTCATTTAATCTATGAACGTTTTTTGTCTCTTTAAATCAACTACTACGAATTGCATTACATCACAATAGACGAAGCTCTCCGACAAAACCGCAGGACCCGAGCTTCATGAGAAAATAACTGCCCTTGAGAAAAAAGTCCTATGTGATCCTATAGGATCTTATACGCCCAATTTCCCATAGGATCCTACAGGAACTTGTAGAATCCTATAAGATTTTCTTGTTAGGGTGATAGAGCCCCTATTTTTGCTCCAAATATTTCATACTGCAGAGTTATCTGAATGCCGCATGCGCAGTGACCGCAGCTTTCAAAGGAACGCTTGTGATGACAATGTAATATGCGCACGATTTAAGCCTACTTGAGGTGCATGTCATATTGGTCACGTGCCACTGATTCATGTTTTACTTTATATGGGTAGAAATTTCTGAGAAATGTTAACACGGTCCCTTGACAAGGTTAAGGGTTAAACGCAACGGGTTGCCAAGAGATCATTAGCGTCTGTTTTACCAAATAAGGACACAAATTTCTATACAATGTTAACGTGGCCACGTGACAGGACACTTCGTTACTATAAAAACACCGCCGCCAGCAAAACGCCGCGCTCACTGCGTGAAGATGACTGTGCTACCGTTATGTCTCTTGACCACGATTTTAGCTCTGTTGGGCAATTTTGTCCAGTCAGCAGATGGCCTTGGAGTCCTTTCCCTAAGAGACGGCACCAGCGATGTACGCTCAAAGGTAGATGCCATTAGAGCCAAGACTTCAGAACTGAACAAGCTCCTTTTGTCTGTGCGAAATAGTCTTGATTCCTGCCTTGATGGAACTAAAACCGGTCAGTTACGCTCATCTAACAACGTGTTGTTCAGAACTTAACATTTGTATTTCATCATTCTTTGGTGTTGTCAGCATTTTCTAAAAATATTTTAAAGATGTTGCGTATTTTTAAAGAGATAGAGCCAAACCTTCAGTGCTGCTATCGTCTGTACTTTTATCTCGTTTTATTCTCTGAACTCTCTAGAAAAAGCAAGTTACGCTAATTTTTATATTGTTATTTCCGTCAATTTGTTATGCATGTTACATTTTTTCTGCTGTTGTCATAGTCTTCTTGATATGATTTACACTTTTTTGCCAATTTCTTAGGAAATATTCACATAGCAAGCACAAACATATGGATAAGCAAACTTATATATACTGTATATCAGATAACACAGAACCTTAGTCTTCGTGTAATATCTGCTAGCACCGTTTTCGAGATAGTGATCTCATTTTTCACAAATAACTGGCGATTTGTTTGGTTCTCTGGACAACCTTTTTTTAAACTGAAAACTCTTTAAGTTCGAACCCATGTGAATTGAACTTCTTAGAGCTTTTGATATAAATGGTGTTCAACACAGCAAAATTTACTGCTCTGATTGAAACTAATGCGCATTTTAAAAAAAATTTATTCCTATAATTGATGAAGCATTCATCTTCCTTTTCTTCATGAAATAAAACATAAATAAAAATAATTANGACGTCACATTTAAGCCTTTATGACATCACCTAGTAACAAATAAACATTTAACCCCCTGAAGAAAGAAAGAAACCGGTCGGGGCAAGAAAGTTGCTGTTCTTCTTTTATTATATATATATATATATATATATATATATATATATATATATATATATATTGTTAAGTTGGTTTGCATGCATTCATATTTTATTATTGTTGTCACATAATTTTGGGCATATCACCCTTTTTCAAGGTACTGGTCTATATCATCTTGTGTAGCCTTCCTCCTCACTGAAAATTATCTGCAGCGATAATGTGGTGGTTATATTCCTACAACATGTACTTCATTTCAATCTGGGATGGCTGTGTATCACTATTAATTAAAAGACTAATCAGTGTGGTTACAACACAGAACTCTCTTGTATACAAGACTAATTTTATCTTTCAGGATACTTAGGCTGGGACTTCTTTAATCCTGGGCACCAGAACGGAGGCACAGGCCAGAACTGTCTGCTGCTGTATGCTCCTCGAAAATATCTGTGGCATGATGCACCCTGCAGCTATAAGGCACATTCTATTTGTGAAATTCAAAATTGAGCCCATGGCGTATAAACAGTCTGTGCGCAGAGTCTTCTATCTTATTAAAAATGAAATTGTACAAGCGGATGTAAGTAACCATATAAGAACTGTGGTAAGCCAGATGGAATTTCTACTCACCCTGTAAATGAAACTATTTCTAGTTACAATAAATTATTTCAAACCGCAAAATTTTTATTTCATTTTTTTGTATTGATTTTATTTGATTTTTTACGAAACAAATTGTGGCATTATCTTGTACAAATTTTTTTTAGAAAATTCGGTCCGCTGTAGCTTCTTAATATCCAGCAGTCACTTATACTACACTATTGTTAACATCCTGTCACTGAGTGGTCTATTCCGAAAAGACGATTACAATAAGGGTCAGCCCAAAGAGCGTAGTCTCGAGACTTAACGTAAAAACTGACGAGAATTGGTAGATTGGAGGTTGAGTGGGGTCTGAAATATTGGCAGACTAGCAAGTGCGGTGTGGCAACGATTATTAGCTGACAGAATGTAGTCATCGGTGTTTTTCAAATTTATTAATAAACATACAAAATAAAAGATGGGAACCTTAAAACTAAAGACACCAGGACTTGTCTTTTTAGTTTTTAGAACTTTTCCGAAAAAAAGTAGAAATTAAGCTCTTAACCTTGTAAGTAAGAAGAAATTACACAATAAAGCGTATATAAGGTGGAATTGGAGGGAGGGAGGGAGGGTAACGAGAAATCGGGAACCCCTCTACATGATACTTTGAAACCGTAAAAGCTGATATTAAATCACAAGAACTAGGTTGTAATTAATCTTTTATCATTCAAAATGAGCCTATTTCTGTGTGTCCGTGAAGAGCAGCAATTTATTTATGATGTAAAATAATGCCTGCCGCTCTTTTGTCCTCACAATAATTGTTTCCTTGATTTTTCAAACTCCTGCTTCGGTCATTTGACTACAGCAAAATTTTCTTAGACCAACTGTTTAGATGACATCACAGAATTTGACACTTACAGCGACATACACTGATTGAATCACTCGTTCTCATGCTAAAAATCGGATCCAGTTCTAGTGGTTGCTACCAAGGACACATCATACATCATACGTGGATCTAAGCTGCTGCTAATATCCCTCACACTGCAGCTGTATCGGCATGAGAAATCTGCCTCAGCAGACCTCGTGATACCGATTTTAAACCCGGATAAGAGTCTTTTCTGCTCTCAACTTAACATCACTTCCATCCGTGGACAACTATGAGCTACACAAGGTGAGCTACCTTAGGGGGCATAACGAGGATTTTATGATGACTTGATACAATGGACACTTAATATGCCTTAAATGACGGTATAGTCGCTATTTCTGTGTCCACACCCACAAGAAAAAATATAATGTATGTGTATATATAATTATAAGTAAATTAATAAATAAACGAAATACATTTTATAAGAAATAAACAACTTCGAAGGAACTAAATCAAAAATTATCCCTAACATGCAATGCTTTCATTTATTCTAACAGCGTTTTCTTTCTCTTTAAACTAACTACTTCTGTAGTACTACATATTGTATTGCATCACTATAAACGAAGCTCTTCGACACAACTGCAAAACCCAAGCTTCATGCCAACATATAACTGATGAAATCAGTAACTCAATTTTGCATCAAAGATAGAACCACTCTTTTCGCTCCAGATATTGTATATTGCAGAGCTATCGTGATCGCACCTTTTAAAGGAACGGTGGTGATGACAATTGTATACGTGTACGATTTAAGCCTAGATTACGTTTACAAATTGAGGTGCACCTCATATGGTCACGTGCTCATTGGACCTTTGATTTCTGTTTTATTTAATATGGGTAAAAAGTTTGTGAGAAATGTTAACGTGGCCACGTGACAGCACACCTCGTTACTATAAAAACGCCGCCGCCAGCAACACACCACGCTTACGTGTCTCATTTGGTGAAGATGTCTGTGCTACCGATGTGTCTCTTGACCACAATTTTAGCTCTATTGGGCACTATTGTTCAGTCAAAAGATGGCTTTGGAGTCAAGAGACGGCACCAGCGATGTACGCTCAAAGGTAGATGCCATTAGAGCCAAGATTTCAGAACTGAACAAGCTCCTTTCGTCTGTGCGAAATATTCCTGATTCCTGCGGTGAGTTACGCTCATCTAACAACATTGTTAAGAAATTTACATTTGTATTCCGATGGAATACAGTACGAACCACTGAATACATGTTTCAGTGAATCTTCTTAGGATTATTCTCTTTTAAAATTAAAATTTTTAACAGAGAACCAGTGCGTGTCTGGCTTTGTGAAGTTCCAACGCTCGTGCTACCAGTTTGTGAGAGAGGAGAAGACGTGGCAGCAGGCACAGAATGCCTGTCGCACCATGGGGGCGAACCTGGTGTCCATTAAGTCTTGGGAAGAGCAGAAGTTTATCCTGAACCACATAGCCCCACACAAAGGTGACAGACAATAGTTCAACGCTATCCGTTATTGCATGTAAGGTACAGATACTGGTGTCAGTTAATTTGGTTTTCAATTGATTAGGCCTACGTTTACGACATGAACAATCTTTCCTATTATCTCTTTTCTTAAACTGACATTTTTTCGTTTTTGTAAAATTGGGGTTGCCTTTTCGATACACGACATAAGTCTAGTGTGTTATGCGTTGTTACCTATTGCAGATCTGTTCCCGAGTTCTGAGGTGTTTCACGCTGGAGCAACAGACACGGCAATGGAAGGCGTTTGGCAATGGGTTTCTGACGGATCTCTGGTCCACGGTGAAATACGGCTTTTCAATGATTCCAATGGTTGGTATTCACTCTTATATTTACTGGAAATGTATTGCCAACTATTTAGTCAGTTTTCATGCATTAGTGTTTTTATTGTTGCTGTTGTTGCATTATTTTCGGCAGATCACCATTTTCAACCCACTGGTCTATACATGTATGATCTTATGTAGCCTTCCTCCTCCCGAATATTGTCTGCAACGACAATCTGATGGTTATATTCCTACTAGTTGTATTTCATAATTCAGTTTGGGATGGATGTGTACCACTATTAGTTAGGGTGTGTCAATGTGCTTACAACACAGAGCTCTGTCGTATACAAGTTTAATTTCATCTTTCAGGATACTTAGGCTGGGACTTCTTCCATCGTTGGTATCAGGACGGAGGCAGAGGCTCGAACTGTCTGCTGCTGTTTGCTCCCCGCAAATATCTGTGGCATGACGAGCCTTGCAGCTTTAAGGCACATTCTATTTGTGAAATTGAAAATTGAGCACCTTGGTTATTTACTTGGTGTATTAACCGTCTGTGTGAAGAATGTACTAACGTATTAATAAAGAAGTTGTTCATGCAGATGTAATAAAGTCTCCACATACGAACTTGTTATGATCTACACATTTTATATATATTTCCCGGCACATAAGCCCGTTCTAGCTACTTTAATCCAGTACTCATTTATACTTCAAGATTGTCAACCGAGTGGCATATTGTGAACAGACAATTACAATAAGGGTCAGCCGAGAGAGCGCAAAGTCTCGCAACTTACCGTAAACTCTAACTAGAATTCGTAGATTAGACGGAGAGTGCGGTCGGACATATTGGCAGAATAGCAAGTGCGGTGTGGAAACGAATATTGGCTGACAGAATATATTCAATGGAGTTTTCAAATTAATTTATAAGCACAGTAGATAACCTTGTTACTCAATACCTCAGGAAGTGTCTTTTTACTTTCGGGGCCTTTTTCGAGAATAAAAGTGGAAAAGAGCACCTGCCCGTCAAAGAAAGAAGAGATGACACATTTAAAGCTTTGACATGGTGGAATAGGAGGAAGGGAGGGCAATTAGAAATCGGAAACCCATCTACTCGATAATATGAATCAGTAGTCAAAACTGACATCTAAGCACAACAACAAGAACCCAATAAATCTCTAATCATTCTAAAGTATTTTTTCTGTCCATAAAGAGCATCAACTTATTTATCGTGTAAAATAACGCCTGTCGTTCTTTTGTCTTCACAATTGTTTTCTTTACTTTTCAAACTCATGCTTCAGTCACTCGACTACAATTAAATTTTCTTAGACCAGCTGTTTAGATGAAATCACAGAATTTGAGCCTCATAACGACATACACTGAATCACTCGTTCTCAAGTTAACAATCGGATCCGGTTCTCGTGGTTGCTACCAAGGACTTATCATACGTGTACATCATACGTGGATCCAATTTTCTTCACACTGTAGTTGTATCGGCATGGAACATGATTTACCTCAGCAGACCTCGTTATAATCATTTTAAACCCGGAGAGTCTCCTACAGCGTTCCACTTTACATCACTTCCATTCGTAGGCAACTGTGGGCTTAACACGGTGGACTAGCGTAGGGAGTGTAACGACAATTTTATGATGTCGCATAAGTCGCAGCACAATGGAAACTTAATATGATGATATAGTCGCTAATTTTGTGTCCACCCCTGCAACAACTGATTTAAATGTGTATTTAGAAAAGTAAATTATTAAATAAAGCGAATAAAGTTTATCAGAAATAAACAAACTTCAAAGTAACTAAATCAAAGACATCATTGTGCAGGTACGTGCAATGCTTCCATTCATTCTATGAACGTTTTCTGTCTCTTTAAACTAAGTACAATTACATTACCAATGACGAAGCTCTACGACAAAACTGCAAAACCCGAGCTTCATGACAACATATGACTATAATGAAATCAGTAACTTGATTTCACATCAAAGATATAACCCCTCTTTTCGGTCCGGGTATTTTATATTGCTGGGTTATCCGAATGCCTCAGGCGCAGTGATCGCATCTTTCAAGGGAATGCTTGTAATGACAATGGAATATGTGAACGATTTAGAGACTATTGTAATAACTTTAGATCTCCAAGGGGAGTCTCTCTTAATTGCAAATAACTTAAGCAGCTTAGATTTGACGGCTACTGAAGCTGAAGGGGTAATTAACTGTCGTTTAGCAGCTTTAGCAGGTTTGCCAGACATCTAGGCCACGTAAGATGAAAGAAAGTTAGCGAGAAACCCCATGGAGATGGACCGATCCTGTTAGATCGATCTAGGGATGAGAACCCAGTCTTAAGCCTAGATTACATTTTCTACTCGCGCTGCATGTCATATTGGTCACGTGATCATAAGGCCACTTATTCCTGCTTTACTTTATATGGGTAGAAATTTCTGTGAAATGTTAACGTGGCCACTTGACAATGTTGACAGTTTATACTCGACGGGTTGCTAAAAGGTCTTTAGCGTCTCTTTTACCTAATAAGGGCATAGCTTTCTATACAATTTTAACTTTGTCACGTGACAGGGTAGATCGCTTCTATAAAAACGCCGCCGCCAGCAACACGCCGTGCTGACGTGTCTCACTTTATGAAGATGTCTGTGCTACCGATGTATCTCTTGATCACGGTTTTAGCTCTATTGGGCACTTTCGTCAAGTCAACAGATGGCTTTGGAGTCCTTTCCCTAAGAGACGGCACTAGAGATGTACGCTCAAAGGTAGATGCCATTAGAACCAAGACTTCAGAACTGAACAATCTCCTTTTGTCTGTGCGAAATAGTCTTGATACCTGCCTTGGTGCAACGACAACAGGTGAGTTACTCTAATCTGACAACATATTGTTCAGAAATTTACATTGTATTCCATCACTTTTTAGTGTTGTTAGCATTTTATAAAAATATTTTAGATTTTGCGTATTTTTAAAAGGACAGAGCCAAGACCAAGAACAGAACGAGCTGCTATCGACAAAAAGCGAGTTGCATTAATTTTTATACCTGTTTAATATGAACATATATTTCAACAGTTTATAGTTCACATAACTGGAAATCACGAAGGAGATCTCGGGATGCGCAGCAAAGTATTTTAATCGAAAAAAAACAGCCAAACTTATCAACTGTCGTTTTTAGACAAAGACCAGGATTTGTTTGTGCGAAATTTTCCCATTCAAGGGAATACTGATTTTCCGATGTTAGTCGCCAAGAACATTATTTTCACTTTTTTCTTTCTCTCAAGAAGATCGATTTCTAAATATAAACCACAGTACCAGATCAATTTCTCGGTATTTTGGTTCTCCCATTGCGATCTTTAATCACGAGGTAATATATGAGGTATAAATACTTTCAGCATGATAAGTCTCTTTAAAATCATAGGAGCCGATAGGTTGATGTTGGAAGGTTGCTACATGTAGTTTTGATTCTACGGTACCAGGGTATCGATATAATATAAACCAGGAAATATAATTAAGAACATATAGGATTAGATTTTGTAAGAGTGCACTGCGCAGTGGGTATCCTAGGGTGCCACATAAGAGAAGTGTATTTAACAACAAAGCGAATTAACCTTTTGCAAACCTGTGCAAGATCTGATGAGGAATGTAAGACACGTTGAAGTTGGCGCAGAAAATACAACGGAACGCATGCTTTTCTATAGATGTATTCAACATGTTCAGACCATATAAGTTGTTAGGTATGAAAACACCCAAACGTTTGAAAATAGAAACACCACTGACACAAGTCTCTCTAATATCAACTGATTGAACTTTTGGCGCAGATAATGTAAAATTTAAGGTCATAAATTTTGTTGTTGTGGCATTGAGTCTCATATTATTTCTTTCTGTAAATCGATGACTCCTTTTTAAATGAAGACCTAACAATCACAGATTTTGATTCAGATAGTACAGTTTTGAAGAAAGTGATATCATTTTTCATGAAAACTTGGCGATTTGTTTGTTTCTCTTTCTGAAAACAGTTTACTGCTCTGAGTTAAACTTTAGCGCATTTTTTAATTTTGTGCCTATAAGAACATCATCTTTTTTTCAGCCAAGTAAAGCATACAACTTCCTTTTCTTCATGTAATAAAACATTCATCAAAATAGTTAAGTATTCCACCACAAATTCCACCACATTTTTGGTAACACCCACTTACTTTTATACATCTTTCATTAACACCTTATACAAAGTGGAGCACAGCATATAATTTCTTTTGCAATGTCAGTTTGTTTCTCAAATTATTGACAAATAAGCCCTTATATTTCTATTTAAGGATATTGTAACTCTTTATTATCATTCAGATACCGAAAATGAGGTTTTGTTTGCATCTGACTATTCAGTAATGCATCTATCTTTGTGCAGATTGGAAACAATATGAAAAAGTACGAAAATCTAAAATATCTGCGTTTTTATTTCTCGCTGCAATGTATGAGCATAGGCAACTCAAAACTTTCATCTTCATTTTTACTCCTTTCTATTTTGAGGTGAGATAGCAATCGGCATGGGGCGTAACTTTATCCCTGAACAAGATTTTATCACGAAAATTGACAGAGTTTACCATTAGTGTATCACCTACCATTTCGTTCCGTCGTTTTGGTTTAAATGATCTTGTTATGGAGTTATGAGCACCTAACTTCATATTTTCATTAAACAAAGACATTATGTTCCTTTATCAATGACAAAATCTGAACTAAGACTTATAAGAAAAATTGTTGACAGGGTTTTGGAGTACTAAATAGTGTCATTAAATCGGCGCTGAAACTGTGATCGTGGGTGCTCAGGTAAAGAAGAAATTTGATTTTTTCATTTTTACCCACTTAAGGCATCACCTGTAACATATGTTTAAATGTTAATTAATTAAGCCATTGAACACTGAAGATTCATCTATTATCCCAAAGAATGTATGTAAGGCTGTAAATAAGAAGTTTTGGGCGAAAGGCGACAAAACCCTTAAATTAAGTATCTGATAAACCATTTAAACAATAAAGAACTACAGAAATAAGATATTTTCTAATATTGTACACGTGTTGTTTGCATGCATCTCTTACAGACAAGACATGTGACAATGTTTTACCTGCAACAGTACGGCCCACAGCATACATGTTACATGTCTTACGATTACTCTCAAATTTTTAACAGATATCCAGTGTGCATCTGGCTTTGAGAAGTTCCAACGCTCGTGCTACAAGTTTGTGAGAGAGGAGAAGACGTGGCAGCAGGCACAAAATGACTGTCGTACCATGGGGGCGAACCTGGTGTCCATTAAGTCTTGGGAAGAACAGAAGTTTATCCTGGACCACATAATGGCACATAAAGGTGAAAGACACTACTTCAACATTATCTGTTTTTAAAGTGACAGAATGTCTATAATTTGTATCTAAGATACAGGTCTTGATGCCAGCTAAATTTTGAATTATACATATGTTTACGGCATAAACAATCTTTACCATTATCTTTATTCTTTAACTGATATATTTTTTTCTTTTTTGTAAAATTAGGCTTGCCTATTCTATCCACGCCATATGTCTAATGCGGTATGCATTGTTATTTATTGCAGACCTGTTCCCGAGTGCTAAAGGATTTCACGCTGGAGCAACAAACGCGGCAATGGAAGGGATTTGGCAATGGATTTCTGACGGATCTTTGGTCCAAGGTGAGATATGGTGTTTCCGTGGTTTCATCTGTTATCAATCATTCTCTCTCTCTCTCTCTCTCTCTCTCTCTCTCTCTCTCTCTATATATATATATATATATATATGTGTGTGTGTGTGTGTGTGTGTGTGTGTGTGTTGCCAACTGTTTAGTTGGTGTGCATGCATTCATTTTTTATTGTAGTTGTCACATAATTTTGGGCAGATCACCTTTTTTGAAGGTACTGGTCTATATCATCTTGTGTAGCCTAGCTTCCTCCTCCCCGAAAATTGTTTGCAGCGATAATGTGGTGGTTATATTCCTACTACATGCACTGCATAGTTCAGTCTCAGATGGTTGTGTATCGTTTTTACTAAAAGACTAATCAGTGTGGTAACAACACAGAACTCTGTCATATACAAGACTAATTTGATCTTTCAGGATACTTAGGCTGGGACTTCTTTAATCGTTGGCACCAGAACGGAGGCACAGGCCAGAACTGTCTGCTGCTGCATGCTCCTCGAAAATATCTGTGGCATGACGAGCCCTGCAGCTTTAAGGCACATTCTATTTGTGAAATTGAAAATTGAGCCCATGGCGTATTAATAGTCTGTGCGCCGAGTCTTCTATCTTATTAAAAATGAAATTGCACAAGCGGATGTAAGTAACCAGATAAGAATTTGCGGTAAGCCAGATGGAATTTCTACTCACCCTGTAAATGAGATTATTTCTAGTTACAATAAATTATTTCAAATCGCAAAACTTTTATTTCATTTTTTATTTTTATTGAATATTTTACGAAGCAAATTCTGACATTATCTAGTACAAAAATTTCTCGAAAAATCGGCCCGCTGTAGCTTCTTTAAAATCAGCAGTCAATTATACTACAATATTGTCAACATCCTGTCGCCGAGTGGCGTATTGTGAATAGAAGATTACAATAAGGATCAGCCCAGAGAGCGCAAAGTCTCTCAACTTAACGTAAAAATTAACGAGAATACGTAGATTTGAGGGAGAGTGGGGTCTGACATTAAGTGACAATGTCATATTGGCAGACTAGCAAGTGCGGTGCGGCAACGAATATTGGCTGACAGAATATATTCATTGGTGTTTTTCAAATTTATTAATAAACAGACAAGAAAAAAGATGTGAACCTTAAAACTAAAGACACCAGGAGGAGTCTTTTTATCTCTCTGGACCTTTTCCAAAAACAAAAGTGGAAATGAAACCCCTGCCCTTGTAAGAAAGAAGGGTGGAAAGGGAGGGATGGAGGGCAACTTAAATCACAACATGAAACTTAAGTTCCATGATCAAAATTACTAGGATCTAACAAATTTCTAATCCTTCAAAAGCATTTGTTCTGTCCATAAAGAGCATCAATTTATTCCTCGTGTAAAATAATTCCTGCCGTACTTTTGTCTTCACAATTGTTTACTTTACTTTTCAAACTATATACACTGATCGAATCACTCGTTCTTATGTTAAAAATCAGATTCGGTTCTCGTTGTTATTACCAATTCAAGGACACATCATACATCACACGTGGATCTAAGTTGCTGCTAATATTCCTCACGGTGCAGTTGTATCGGCATGGAACATGATCTACCTCAGCAGACCTCGTGATAACGATTTTAAACCCTGATAACAGTCTCTTAAAGCTCGCAACTTTACATCACTTCCATTTGTGGACAACTGTGGGCTACTTTAGAGCGTCACGACGATTTTATGATGACTTGGCACCATGAAAACTTAATATGCCTTAAATGATGGTATAGTTGCTATTTCTGTGTTCATCCCTGCAACAAAAAATTAAAAAAATATATAGGCATGTTTAGATAAGTTAATTTAAAAATAAAGGAATTAAATTTTATCAGAAATAAACAAACTTCAAATTAGGTACTATATGCCCAATTTCCCATAGGATCCTACAGGACCTTTTAGGATCCTATAAGATTTTCTTCAGAGTTATCTGAATGCCGCATGCGCAGTGATCGCACCTTTAAAGAGAACGCTTGTGATGACAATGTAATATGCGATTTAAACCTAGATTACATTTTTCACTTGAGGTGCATGTTATATTGGTCACGTGCCACTGATTCATGTTTTACTTTATATGGGTAGAAATTTCTGAGAAATGTTAACGTGGCCACTTTACAAGGTTAAGGGTTAAACTCGGCGGATTGCCAAGATGTCATTAGCGTCTGTTTTGCCTAATAAGGGCACACATTTCTATACAATGTTAACGTGGTCACGTGACAGGCCACCTCGTTACTATTAAACCGCCGCCGCCAGCAACACGCGAGCTTACGTGTCTCACTTCGTGAAGATGTCAGTGCTGCCGATGTGTCTCTTGACCACGATTTTAGCCATTTTGGGCAATTTTGTCCAATCAACAGATAGCCTTGGAGTCCTTTCCCTAAGAGACGGCACCAACGATGTACGCTCAAAGGTAGATGCCATTAGAGCCAAGACTTCAGAACTGAACAAGCTCCTTTTGTCTGTGCGAAATAGTCTTGATTCCTGCCTTGTTTGAACTACAACCGCTGAGTTACACTCATCTAAAAACATGTAATTCAGAAATTTACATTTGTATTTCATCACCATTTGCTGTTGTCAACATTTTCTTAAAATATTTTAGAGATTTTGTGTATTTTAAAGAGATAGAGCCAAGACTTCAGAACTGAACGAGTTGCTATCGTGCGTACTCTTATTTCGTTTTATTCCCTGAACTCCCTACAAAAAGCGAGTTACGCTAATTTTTATTTTGTTATCTCTGTCAATTTGTAATGCATGTTACATTTTTTCTGCTGTTGTCATAGTCTTCTTGATATGGTTTACACTTTTTTTTGCTAATTTTCTTAGGAAATATTCACATTGCAAGCACAAACATATGGATAAGCAAACTTAAAAATACTGTATATCAGATACCACAGAACCTTAGTCTTCGTTTATTATCTGCTAGCACCGTTTTCGAGATAGTGATCTCATTTTTCACAAATAACTGGCGATTTGTGTGGTTCTCTGGACAACCTTTTTTAAACTGAAAACTTTTTAAGTTCGAACCGATGTGAAATGGACTTCGTAGAGCTTTTGATAAAATTGGTTTTCTGAATACTTTTAATGTTTGTAGCCTTTTTTTTTCATTTTCCTTAACTGATATTTTATAATTTTTCTTAATATAATTAATAATGTTCCCTATTTGATGCATTGTTGCAGAGTTACTCCCGATTCCTAGGGGGTTTCATGCTGGAGCTACAGACTCGTCTGTGGAAGGGATTTGGCGATGGGTTTCTGACGGATCTTTGGTCCAAGGTGAGATATGGCGTTTCAGTGATTTCTCTCGTTGATATTCACTGCATTTGTATTGTCAACTTCTTTTGTTGGTACAGTTTTATTTTTTTATGCATTAATGCGGTTATAAGATCAATGTTTTTAAGGTACAGATCTTTTTTATCCTGTGTATCCGTCCTCCTTCCCGAAAATTGTGCGCAACGATAATCGGATGTTCATATTCCTACTAAATGTACTTCATAGCTCAGTTTTGGATGGTTGTGTATAACTAATAGTTAGGACTTGTCAATATGGTTACAACACAGATATATGTCGCATACAAGACTAATTCGATCTTTCAGGATACTTAGGCTGGGATTTCTTTGATAATTTTCACCAGAACGGGGGCACAAAAGAGAACTGTCTGCTGCTGCATGCGCCACGCAATTATCTGTGGCATGATGAACCCTGCAGATTTTATGCACATTCTATTTGTGAAATTGAAAATTGAGCACATTAATATGTTCACAGTCTGTGTGCAGAATCTGCTTACTTCAGAAAAAAGCTGTTGTACAAACAAATGCAAGTAACCAGATAAGATGCAAGTCTGCTTACCCTGTACATAAGACTATAATTGGGTTCACAATAAATCATCTTGGCTCGCATAAATGAAATGATTGGATGTTACATGTTTTACAAAACCAGTTCTCGCATTACCTTTTATACATATTTCCCGAAAAATCATCCCATTCTAGCTAGTTAAACCCAGAAGTTATGTAGTCATGCTACAAGATTGTCAACATGCTGTCACCGAGTGGCATATTGTGAACAGACGATTACAATAAGAGTCAGTCCAGAGAGCGCAAAGTCTCGCGACTTAACGTAAAAACTTACGAGAACTCGTAGATTTGAGGTTGAGTGAGGTCTGACATATTGGCAGCTCATCAAGTGCGTAGCGGCAACGAATATTAGCAGACAGAATATAGTCATGAGTGTTTTTCGAATTTATTAATAAACAGACAAGATAAAAGATGGGAACGTTAAAAGAAAAGACAGCAGGAGGTGTCATTTTACTTTCGGGACATTTCCGAAACCAAAAGTGGAAATGAAGCTCCTGGTTTTGTAAGAAAGAATGGTGGAAAGGGAGGGATGGAGGGCAACTTAAATCACAACATGAAACTTTAAAGGGATAATAACTCTTCGTATGAAATCTGTATTTCACAATAAAAACATTGTGAGTGACTCATAAAAATATAATATATACTGTTTTCCCACAAAAACGGCTGTTATAGCTTTTATTCTGATATCTGAGCTTGTCTTTAGACCACGTGACCTCCATTGATGGCTATACTCTGTTAAAATCTCTTAAGAGATTTTAACAAAAAACCAAACTTTTTAGAAAAAAACCAGGGACTAACTTTGAATGTAAAAATGGATTCATTAACCATTGGTAAGTATGGGAAAATTGTTGTTTACTCCAGGAAAATTCATTTTTTGGCCGAAACGAAGAGTTATTATCACTTTAAGTTCCATGATCAAAATTACTAGGATCTAACAAATTTCTAATCCTTCAAAAGTATTTGTACTGTCCATAAAGAGCATCAATTTATTCCTCGTTTAAAATAATTCCTGCCGTACTTTTGTCTTCACAATTGTTTACTTTACTTTTCAAACTTCTGCTTCATTCACTCGACTACAATTTAATTTTCGTAGACCAGCTGTTTAGATGATATCACAGAATTTGAGACTCATAACGACATACACGGTACACTGATCGAATCACTCGTTCTCATGTTAAAAATCAGATTCGTTTCTCTTTGTTATTACCAATTCAAGGACAAATCATACATCACACGTGGATCTAAGTTGCTGCTAATATTCCTCATGGTGCAGTTGTATCGGCATGGAACATGATCTACCTCAGCAGACCTCGTGATAACGATTTTAAACCCGGATAACAGTCTCTTAAAGCTCGCAACTTTACATCACTTCCATTCGTGGACAACTGTGGGCTACTTTGGAGCGTCACGACGATTTTATGATGACTTGGCACCATGACAACTTAATATGCCTTAAATGATGGTATAGTTGCTATTTCTGTGTTCATCCCCGCAACAAAAAATTAAAAAAATATATAGGCATGTTTAGATAAGTTAATTTATAAATAAAGGAATTCAATTCTATCAGAAATAAACAAACTTCAAATTAGGTACTATATGCCCAATTTCCCATAGGATCCTACAGGACCTTGTAGGATCCTATAGATTTTCTTGTTAGGGTGATAGAGCCCCTATTTTCACTCCAAATATTTTATACTGCAGAGTTATCTGAATGCTGCATGCGCAGAGATCGCACCTTTAAAAAGAACGCTTGTGATGACAATGTAATATTAAAACCTATGCGATTTAAACCTAGATTACATTTTCTACTTGAGGTACATGTTATATTGGTCACGTGCCACTGATTCATGTTTTACTTTATATGGGTAGAAATTTCTGAGAAATGTTAACGTGGCCACTTGACAAGGTTAAGGGTTAAACTCGACGGATTGCCAAGATGTCATTAGCGTCTGTTTTGCCTAATAAGGGCACACATTTCTATACAATGTCAACGTGGTCACGTGACAGGCCACCTCGTTACTATAAAAACGCCGCCGCCAGCCACACGCCGCGCTTACGTGTCTCACTTCGTGAAGATGTCTGTGCTACCGATGTGTCTCTTGACCACGATTTTAGCCATTTTGGGCAATTTTGTCCAATCAACAGATAGCCTTGGAGTCCTTTCCCTAAGAGACGGCACCAACGATGTACGCTCAAAGGTAGATGCCATTAGAGCCAAGACTTCAGAACTGAACAAGCTCCTTTTGTCTTTGCGAAATAGTCTTGATCTTGGTGGAACTACAACCGGTGAGTTACACTCATCTAACAACATGTAATTCAGAAATTTACATTTGTATTTCATCACCCTTTGCTGTTGTCAGCATTTTCTAAAAATATTTTAGAGATTTTGTGTATTTTAAAGAGATAGAGCCAAGACTTCAGAACTGAACGACTTGCTATCGTACGTACTCTTATTTCGTTTTATTCCCTGAACTCCCTACAAAAAGTAAGTTATGCTAATTTTTATAATGTTATTTCCGTCAATTTGTAATGCATGTTACATTTTTTTTGTTGTCATAGTCGTCTTGATATGATTTACAGTTTTTTTTTTTTTTTTTGTTAATTTTCTGTAGAGTATTCACATAGCAAACACAAACATATGGATAAGCAAACTTAAAAATACTGTATATCAGATAACACAGAACCTTAGTCTTCGTTTAATATCTGCTAGCACCGTTTTCGAGAAAGTGCTCTCATTTTTCATAAATAACTGGCGATTTGTGTTGTTCGCTGGACAACCTTTTTTTAAACTGAAAACTCTTTAAGTTCGAACCGATGTGAATTGGACTTCGTAGAGCTTTTGATATAATTGGTGTTCAACACAGCAAAGTTTACTGCTCTGATTGAAACTAATGCGCATTTTTTAAAAATTTTATTCCTATAACTGATGAAGCATTCATCTTCCTTTTCTTCATGAAATAAAACATAAATAAAAATAATTAAGTATTCCACCACATTTTTGCTAACACTTGTTTTTATACATCTTTTACTAACACCTTTTATAAAGTGGAGCAAAGCATGTCCTTTGTTTTGAAGTATCAGTTTGTTTCTCAAATTATTGACAAATAAGCCCTTATATTGCTATTTAAGGATACTTTATCTCTGTACTATCGCCCAGATACCGAAAATAAGTTTTTCTTGCATCTAATTATTCAATAATGCATCTATCTTTGTGCTGATTGGAAACAATATAAGAAATCTCCGAAAATCTAAAATATCGGCGTTTATATTTCGTATTGCAATGTATGAGCATAGTCAACTCAAAGCTTTAACACCTTTCTATTTTGAGGTGAGATAGCAATCGGTATGGGGCGTAACTTTATCCTTGAACAAGATTTTATCACGCAATTTGTCACGCCTTAGCAGGAGTATCTGAGCTACCATCCCGTGTCGTCGTTTTGGTTTAAATGCTTTTGTTATGGGGTTATGAGCACCTAATTTCATATTTTCATTAAACAAGAAATTGTTTTGCTTTATCAATGATAAAATCTGAACTAAGACTTTTAAGAAAAATCGCTGGCAGGGTTTTGTCGGCGTTGAAACTGTGATCGTGAGTGCTCAGGTAAATGAGAAATTTATTATTTTTTTCATTTTAACCCCCAGATCACAATTATAACGTCACGTGTAAATTTTCTAATATTGTACATTTGTTTTTTGCATGCATCTCTTACAGACAACGCAGGTGACACAATGTTTTACCTGCAACTGTATGGACCACTGAATACATGTTTCAGTGAATATATTAGGAGCATTCTCTTTAATTTTTAACAGATATCAAGTGCGCATTTGGCTTTGTGAAGTTCCAACGCTCGTGCTACAAGTTTGTGATAGAGAACAAGACGTGGCAGCAGGCACAGCATGACTGTCGTTCCATGGGGGCAAACCTAGTGTCCATTAAGTCTTGGGAAGAGCAGAAGTTTATCTTGGACCACATAGCCACACACAAAGGAGTAGNAGTGAATCTTCTTAGGAGCATTCTCTCTAATTTTTAACAGATATCAAGTGCGCATCTGGCTTTGTGAAGTTCCAACGCTCGTGCTACAAGTTTGTGATAAAGGAAAAGACGTGGCAGCAGGCACAGCATGACTGTCGTAACATGGGGGCAAACCTAGTGTCCATTAAGTCTTGGGAAGAGCAGAAGTTTATCTTGGAGCACATAGCCACACACAAAGGTGACAGACAATAGTTCAACACTATCCGTTTGTTTCATGTAAGGTACAGATACTGGTGTCAGATAATTTGATTTTCAATTAATTATGCCTACGTTTACGACATGAACAATCTTTCCTATTATCTCTTTTCCTAAACTGACATTTTTTTCGTCTTTGTAAAATTGGGGTTGCCTATTCGATACACGACATAAGTCTAGTGTGTTATGCGTTGTTATCTGTTGCAGACCTGTTCCCGAGTTCTCAGGGGTTTCACGCTGGAGCAACAGACACGGCAATGGAAGGCATTTGGCAATGGGTTTCTGACGGATCTCTGGTCCAAGGTGAGATACGGCTTTTCAATGATTTCAATGGTTGTTATATACTCTTATATTTACTGTAAATGTATTGCCAACTATTTAGTTAGTTTTCATGCATTAGTGTTTTTATTGTTGCTGTTGTTGCATTATTTTCGGCAGATCACCATTTTCAACCCACTGGTCTATACATGTATGATCTTGTTTAGCCTTCCTCCTCCCGAAAATTGTCTGCAACGACAATCTGATGGTTATATTCCTACTAGTTGTATTTCATAATTCAGTTTGGGATGGATGTGTAGCACTATTAGTTAGGATGTGTCAATGTGTTTACAACACAGAGCTCTGTCGTATACAAGTTTAATTTCATCTTTCAGGATACTTAGGCTGGGACTTCTTCCATCGTTGGTATCAGGACGGAGGCAGAGGCTCGAACTGTCTGCTGCTGTTTGCTCAACGCAAATATCTGTGGCATGACGAGCTCTGCAACAATAAGGCACATTCTATCTGTGAAATTGAAAATTGAGAACCTTGATATGTTTGCAGTCTGTGTACAGAATCTGCTTACTTAAGGAAAAAGAAGTTGTAAAATCAGATGTAATTGTAACCAGATACCTTATGCTCACCTTGTACACGAGACTCCTTGTGTTCACAATAAATCATCTGATCTCACCTTGCATGAATGAAATGGTTGATTTTTATTGATATATGTTTCACAAAACCAATTCTTGCATTACCTTTTATATATATTTCCCGGCACATAAGCCCGTTCTAGCTACTTTAATCCAGTACTCATTTATACTTCAAGATTGTCAACATCGTGTCACCGAGTGGCATATTGTGAGCAGGCAATTACAATAAGGGTCAGTCGAGAGAGCGCAAGGTCTCGCAACTTACCGTAAACTCTAACTAGAATTCGTAGATAAGACTGAGAGTGGGGTCGGACATATTGGCAGAATAGCAAGTGCGGTGTGGAAACGAATATTGGCTGACAGAATATATTCAATGAAGTTTTCAAATTAATTTATAAGCAGAGTAGATAACCTTGTTACTAAATACCTCAGGAAGTGTCTTTTTACTTTCGGGGCCTTTTTCGAGAATAAAAGTGGAAAAGAGCACCTGACCGTCAAAGAAAGAAGAGATGACACATTAAAGCTTAGACATGGTGGAATGGAAGGAAGCACAACAACTAGAACCCAATAAATCTCTAATCATTCTAAAGTGTTTGTTTTGTCCATAATGAACATCAACTTATTTATCGTGTAAAATAACGTCGTTCATTTGTCTTCAGAGTTGTTTTCTTTACTTTTCAAACTCATGCTTCAGTCACTCGACTACAATTAAATTTTCTTAGACCAGCTGTTTAGATAAGATCACAAAATTTGAGCCTCATAACGACATACACTGAATCACTCGTTCTCAAGTTAACAATCGGATCCGGTTCTCGTGGTTGCTACCAAGGACTTATCATACGTGTACATCATACGTGGATCCAAGTTGCTGTTAATATTCTTCACACTGTAGTTGTATCGGCATGGAACATGATTTACCTCAGCAGACCTCGTGATAGTCATTTTAAACCCGGAGAGTCTCTTACAGCGTTCCACTTTACATCATTTCCATTCGTAGGGAGTGTAACGACAATTTTATGATGTCGCAGCACAATGGAAACTAGATATGCCTTAATGATGATATAGTCGCTAATTTTGTGCCCACCCTTGCAACGATTGATTTAAATGTATATTTAGATAAATAAATTATTAAATAAAGCGAATAAATTTTATCAGAAATAAACGAACTTCAAAGTAACTAAATTAAAGACATCATTGTGCAGGTACTTGCAATGCTTCCATTCATTCTATGAACGTTTTCTGTCTCTTTAAACTAAGTACAATTACATTACCAACGACGAAGCTCTACGACAAAACTGCAGAACCTGAGCTTCATTACAACATATGACTAATGAAATCAGTAACTTGATTTCACATCGAAGATAGAACCCCTCTTTTCGTTCCAGATATTTTATATTGCAGGGTTATCCGAATGCCACAGGCGCAGTGGTAGCATCTTTCAAAGGAACGCTTGTAATGACAGTGGAATATGTGCACGATTTAGACTATTGTAATTACTTTGAAACTCCAAGGGGAGTCTCGTTTAATTGCAAATAACTTAAGCAGCTTAGAATTCACGCCTACTCCAGCTGATAGGGGGAAATTAAGGGACCGTTCACATGGAAAGTCTATTTTCTAAAAATCTATTTTCTATTCGCGGTATCTTGTGATCACTCCGAGCGCAGCCGAGAATTAATAAGAGCTTTGGAAGTAACTGGCTCGCGCTGCCAGTAATTACGCCGCGGGGTATTCAGGGCACAGACCGTGATCACAAGATACTGCGAATAGAAAATAGATTTTTAGAAAATAGACTTGTCATGTGAACGGGGCCTAACTGTCGTTTAGCAGCTTTAGCAGGCTACCACATAAGCTGAAAGAATTTTAGGGAGAAACCCCGTGGAGATGGACGGATCCTGTTAGATCGATCTAGGAATGGGAACCCAGTCTTAAGCCTAGATTGCATTTCCTACTCGCGCTGAATGCCATATTGGTCACATGATCATAAGGCCACTGATTCCTGCTTTACTTAATTTATATGGGTAGAAATTTCTGTGAAATGTTAACGTGGCTACTTGACAATGTTGACAGTTTATACTCGAAAGATTGCCAAGAGGTCATTAGCGTCTGTTTTACCTAATAAGGGCACAAATCTCTATACAATGTTAACGTGGTCACGTGACAGGCCACCCCGTTACTATAAAAATGCCGCTGCCAGCAACACGCCGTGCTTACGTGTCTCACTTCGTGAAGATGTCAGTGCTGCCGGTGTGTCTCTTTTGGGCAATTTTGTCCAGTCAACAGATGGCCTTGGAGCCCTTTCCCTAGGAGACGGCACCAGCGATGTACACTCAAAGGTGGATGCCATTAGAGCCAAGACTTAAGAACTGAGCAAGCTCCTTTTGTCTGTGCGAAATAGTTTTGATTCCTGCCTTGGTGGAACTACAGACTTGACATTTAATATGGAATATTTTTTCCAAAACATAATTCATCAGTTTTTTTCCTATTTTACTGACTGATAAATGAAAATAAGGATTAAAATCGTGTTTTAATAACTTTTGATAATCTCTTCGTAGTCATTGTGACATCAGTTCATTAATTGAATTCGTCAGTAAAGCAAACAAAAATACATTGCCTACTTTAAGTCATACGACAACCATTGAGAGCGATATTTTGGATCTCCATATTTTCCTAATTATTGTCTTTAAAAGAGTTACACGCCCCACACAGGCCCCCCATGTCAGTGTCTAGTCACAGCAACAGTCGCTGTTACGCTTGACCTCATCTTGCTGCTACCAGAGCTTTCAAGCCGCAAGGCATTTCTTATGATAGGCTTTTTAGAGTTTAATCTGGAATAAAATTCCAGAATACGGTTAAAACTTGTCCAATCTGGCTCAGTTTTGATGTAGGACATGCAGGCCGTTGATTCGGCGAGTAATGACCTACCCACATATTGTCTATGTGATTCAAATATGGCGACTTTGATGACCAAGGTGGNGGCTGTTACGCTTGACCTCATCTTGCTGCTACCAGAGCTTTCAAGCTGCAAGGCATTTCTTATGATAGGCTTCTTAGAGTTTAATCTGGAATAAAATTCCAGAATACGGTTAAAACTTGTCCAATCTGGCTCAGTTTTGATGTAGGACATGCATGCCGTTGATTCGGCGAGTAATAACCTACCCACATATTGTCTATGTGGTTCAAATATGGCGACTTTGATGACCAAGGTAGCTACTCATTCCCTTGGTTCTGTAAGTTATCTGCTATTTAATGTGCTCTGTGTGAACCGGCAACCTCACCCTGCAACCTAAAATTGTTCCTAAGGTGCCCCCTATCAAATAATAGTCAAGTGGTTCCCAGATTATTCCTTTATTTGATCTGGTTCAGGTTTTCATCGATGACTACCACTGGTATTTTGGCACCAATGTGGTATCCACTCCAAATACTGACACTGTCAATGACCCTAGTCACTTAAGAAGTGGCACACGTTTCGTCGAAGGCCTCTTCAGAATGTCTGTAAACTCTGTTTTGGCCAGTTTAGCGGTACAGGTGAAATCTGACCTCAATAAAGAAAGCCACGCGGTTTCAGTGTTTTACCCAGAAACTGTCATGGTCCCCAATTCATTAGATAAACAGACTAGGCTGCTTTGCTGTTTACAGTGGCTTCCTCAGAGGTCGCCTGGAATCCTAACCTGCTGAAATCAGTTTGGTGTTCGCTAAGAGCCTTGAAAAACAAGTTTTGGTGACAATTTGTTCCTCATTCAAAACGGACTGGGTGGTTTTGGTTTAATTGCAGCAGCATATCCTGAAGGACAGTGAGTCCTATACGCTGGTGGTAAGACGTCGATGCATTGGGCTTGGCCTCTGTGTAGTGCCTCAAACTGAACATAACTCTATAAAACTGTGAAGACCGTTCCGTTTGACACAATAATCTGTCTGGCAATGTCTGTGTTTTTCGCGCCATTCTGGCACAGGTTAACAGTTTTGTAAAACGCTGCTCAACTCATTTTACGCACTGCAAAACCGACCGCTGGCATGCAAAATTTCAAATTCTTCTATGCAGTATTTGCCGACATATGGATACTTTTTGACAGAACCATCCTTCGCCAAAGCCAAGCTTTGACTAGCCCAAAGGAACACTGCCCAATTAAATTACTGCATATTACACAAGGCAGCAGTGCAACAGACTTGGTAGTCAGTTAATTGGCAGCGACACACCTGACTTTACACTTCTCCAGTAAGATGTCTTATATGAAGTCTGAATTTCTTTTTAAAAGAACGCATTTTTACATAGGTATACCTTCAAAACTGAAATATTCCATATTAAATGTCAAGTCTGTACATCAAAATATCAACTTTTAAGGGCAGGTGAATTTTTGTAACTTTTGTAATGGTAATCCTTTTATAGATAATATTAGATAAAAGTTCTGTGGGATAGGTGCATTAGAATAACATTCGTTTGTTCATTGTGTGTGTGTGTGTGTTTTTTTTTTTTTTTTTTTTTTTTTTTTTTTTTTTTTTTTTTTATTGGTGCTCTGACAATGTGCTGTTCAATGCGTGTTATCAACAGCAATTTTAATTAAAATAGACATTACTCTAAAAGCTCGCCTCAACACCAGAGGAAATAGGTCAGGCAGGGCTTATTAATTTAAACAAGCGGACGGTTCAATCTAACTCAATCTAACTCCCTGGGGAGTCTCACTAAATTGTTATCAACGTAACTGGCTTAAATGTCTGTCACGCCCTGTCAAGATGCTAGGGGGTAATTATCTTTACCTTAGCTGATTCGGTAGGCGTGACAGACATTTAAGCCGGTTCAGTCGATAGCAATATAGTGAGAATCCCCAGGTAGTTAGACCGATCTAGAGGGATCGTTCTAGGCACGGGAACCCAGTCCAAAATTGCATATGTCATCTTTGATGGCTATTGGCAGGTGGAACATAAGAGCACGTTTTACATCACTTTAAGTAGTTAAACGCCCCTCCTTGACAAAGTAACGATAAAAGTATTTGCTTTGTGGGATCCCAGCATGTGTTCGTCAGGTGACGAGTCCAAAAGTTCTACCTAAC